GAGGCCTAAAGTGAACCTCAGCAGCAGGAAAAGAACGTATTTGGGACGTGTTGTTTGAATCGGCGATTTCTGAGCGTTCACATCAGACAAAAAGCCAGTGCTGCTCAGGAGACTGTGAAGGCAGCATCTCAGTCCAAGGCCGTTGGAACATCCCAAAACAAAAGCCTGCTCCACCTCCAGTGGTGAGCAGCTTCACTGGAACATGCTGTTCGGATTCTTTACTGGATTTTCAAAAGGCAGTTTTTCATTGGGGCTGAAACCTGAGATAGATAGAACTGCGTGTTCCAAGTCGAGAAAAATGAGCAGGGGAGCAGTTTATGGGTTTGCAAGTGGCAAGAAAAGTTTATTTAATAACGGGGAGAAGGCAGGAACATAGCCCACGGTAACAAGGGAGAAATAATCCAATTAACAGAACAAGACATGAGGCTGAAAAGAAATACTAAATGTAGCTGTCCAGCAAGCTGTACCCTAGGGGTTATTTTCCCTAAGTTACAAGAAGCATATAATACTGGTCCCTGGAGGGCCTAAGTAAGTGTTAAATATACACCTCCCCTGTGAGTAAAACAAGTTGTTAATTAGATTTGTCTTGTCAGTTCAGGCTGTGAACTGCAAGGGCCTACCTGGAATAGAAGTTTCTCAGAGAAATCAATATATCCACCAAAAAAATAGGTTTATCTCCTCCTTTGCATGGCTTTTATGTTGTTTCACTCCAGTTCACTATATCTTAGCAACCTGAACAGAACAAACTGCGCCTGCTTTGCAAATTTAATTATAAAACGAGCTTGAACTACTTCTACAATCAAAGAGTAAGCCCCATGCTGAATGGCAATTTGTCTTGCCCCACAGCACAGGAAATGAAGGAGGCAGGGGAGTAAATCTGAGGCAATTTATACCTTAGACAGCTGCCCCCATTACATTCAATGTGTTTGCTGCACCTAGAATGCAGGAATGGCCTCTGTGCTAATGTTTTACCTGATATTAGCGGCAGCCACAGAAACTCTGGTGCTGACGTAGATAAACTGTCAGCGTGCCCTGTCTAAAATGTTTGCTCGCCTCCCATCATTGCTCTTTGGTGCAAAGTGCTTTAATTGTTTCCATCTCATTTGGAAATGGAGTGGAGTGTGAGACTAAGTCATCTTCTTTCTGGACATGATTCTAAAGTGAACAGTGAAGACTCTGATGGCAAAATAAGACCAGAGCTTACAAAAGGAACGAGGAAGCTAAGCAAGAGCTGAACTGAAAGGCTCCAGTGACTAAATAAAGAGGGAGAAATTGGACAGAGACAACTGGATAACATAAAATGTTCAAGAACTGATCTAGCAGTATTGACGGTGTCATTATGCTTAAAGCTACAGTATTAGTCCAGCAGGATGGGGTAAACTACAGAAAAGACGAGATGAACCAGGGGAGACCTCTTTGGAATGAAGAGCACCGAAACTGGTCCTTACTCCCAACCTGAATGAAAACAGTTATGCTGGACAAAGATTAGCCAGTGAAGGGGTTAAACAAAGCCAGAGCAGGGCTGATGTGGGATTCACAAACCTGCATAAGAAAGTTCTGACGTGGGAAAGAATACCCCATTCATCTCAACTTCTGTAAAGTAAGATAGCATTTAGGTCTGTTGCAAGTAAAGCACTACACGGAGCTACTCGTATTGTTCCCTGCATCTTGTCTCATTTGGGTGCGTCAGTGGCTAATTCTTATAGAGTGTCACTATTTTTATAGCTGTTGTGACTTCACATGTCATTTTTGCTCTTTTTACATCTTGCCTTTTTTTATCTGTCAAAGATTTTGACTCAGCTACCTGGTACATAATTGTTAAATCTCGCTAAACCTTAAATGGTGAGCTGGTTTAAATCTTGATGTTCTTGAAATTCCCCTGTATGAAAATCTGAGTTGTATTAGGAAGCTTACACGCAGCTTTCTAGGACGTTTTAATGCATTATTTAGTCATTCTCAGTATATTTCTGTTGCACTGCTGGAAGGATAACAAAAATGACTTTTTGTTATCCTTGACTTTTGTCGCCAGCCTAAGCTCCATCTCCGGCTTTGGCTCTCCTCACTGCTACCCTGCAGGCTCGACCCAAGCAGGTGAACTCCTCCTTTGTGACTGCCCCCTGCTTCCACAGCCTATGGGCCTCTTTTCCTCACCAGGCTCTCCTGGATTTCCCTGCTCAGTCAAGAGGGTTTCTTTGCTTTTTTGCCCCCCTTTATGTGGACTGGGATAGTCTTTTTTTTGTGCCTGCAGAATTATTCCCTTGAGAAACACCACCCTTCCTAGACACCCATTTCTGCAAGGCTATTACCAAAGTTGGCCTTCTTGAAGTCCAGCACTTCTGCCCTACTAGTTATCTTCCCCACCTTTTCCTGTTGCTTAATGTCACAAGTTGTTCCCCATTGCTCTCTATGTGCCTCTTTTTCTTTCTCCATCTCTCCCCTCCACCTCATGCTGTGTCTTATGTCCTTCTCACATGTGCACATGCTCTTTCTCTCTCTGTCTCTCCTTTTCTAGCTGTCTTGTTCTCTCCCTATTTCTTTCTGTTCATCTGCTTTGAAAATGAGGCTAAAATGCAACTTGATAAGTGTGGCTCTTGGCGCACATCTGCCAGGATTTGAAATGGATAATCAAAAGGCATGTGGAGAAAGAGCTCAATGTGTTAGGAGGGACAGCGGAGAAAAGTAGACTGAGGCAGTCCCTCCTGAATGGAACTGTTGATAAAAAGGTCAAACCAGAACTTCCTTATCTGTCTTATACAAGGTAAATTGCAAATTACTTTCCATTGCTGTCTTCCCCCACACAGACTCAAAATGTACATGTGTAAAATAAAAGGGAATTTCAGAAATTAAGGGAAAAGTATATTTTAGGGACTTTCAAACCACAGACATTTACTTTCTTTCCAAAGGCAGCATTAGTAATAGATGTCTAAGACGATGGAAGGTCCAAGATTAGATTATCTTCCTGAGATCAGATGTGAATCACAAGTTAATCTTATTTTCTGGTATTTCTACTTTCTTTATTCTTTCATTTTCTCCTGGAGAATTAGGTTTCTAACTTCATACCAGTCTGTCTTCCCTGAAGGCATGAAAGTCCCACTGCCGGGGCCAGGTAGGGTGACCTGTGGATGTGGTTATAGAAACCTTCATTTTGGGAGGTTTGTTTGTATTTTGTGAATTGACCACTGTAGTGGCCCCTCAGATGGTGCCGTATCCCACCCCCAGTGCTTGCATGAATTGTCTCATCTTACACAAGTGACAAACCCCCAGCTGCCTTTCACAGCAAAGGTGGCTACAAACTCAGTGCAGAGGAGCCAGGCTCTGGCAGTGGGCAGCCAATTGACCCGGCTAGAAATGGCCTGTGAAGGACTTGAGCTTCAAATTAAGCTCCACAAACCACACTCCTCCATCATGACATTTTGATTTGAAAGCTTGTCTTAGTGACAGCGCTGCTGCTGCCACAGCTGTGCCAGAAGAGTTATAGCCCCCTATCAGAGGGTCATTATATGACCACAAAGGCAGTTTTCTGTGGGCTACACCAAGGGTTCAACCTTTTTCTGCCTGAGGACTGGCTTGGCTTCCCAGCCCTGCCCACACAGCCCTGGGTGCAGCAGATGGGTCTCAGTGGCTTGTAGCCCTGGGGCCCCACTCACCCGAACCTCATCCACCCACCTGTAGTACCACCCCACCCTGCCCCTGCCCCTTTCTTGAGACTCACTTTAGCCCTGGGGGGCTGAGGTGGCTCCTGGCCAGGCCAGGCCAGGCCAGGCAGACCCCCTGAAACCTGCTGTGGACACCTGTTTGAGAACCGCTGGGTTACACCACCTCTTCTAGTGGTAGAGCTGTGTCCAGAGCTGGTTGGGCGGATGGTTCTAGCATGCATATATTGATTAAACAGTGAGATCCTTTTTACACAGAGACACTGCAAGCAATTTTTGCTCCTGGGACAGCTGGGCTGGCAGCAGGGTCTGGGTTGGTGGTGGCAGCTGGGTTGGTGGTACAACTGCTGTTTCTGCACCTCCTCTAAATAGGTGCCTGGAGCTGGTGCCCTGCTTACCCACCCTAGTTATGCTACTATTACACCACTAACCAGCAAGGATGGGCCAGCAACACTTTGTAGTGCAAGCTAGATCTGAAGGTCTATCTCTGTGGGAAGACTTCTATCTGAAAATGAGAGAGATTGTGATACAATTGGGTTTAAGTGCTGGGTGTGCATCTGATGGGTGTTGAACACCCATGAATGTGGTTTAGTATTCTACCATGTATTTGCGATTAAGAGCTGCTTTGTGCAGGAGAATGTGTCCCCCAAAGGCTGAGTTTGCTGCTGTTGCAGGTTTGAGTATGTGGTATCACAAGATGTGAGATATGAGCATGTACTTTCCATGAGGGGGAGTACCTCTGCATGTATATTCTTCATTATACAAATGATACAGGGGTCCTTTGTAAAGCACTTTGAGATCAATGGTAAAGAAAATATCAGAGCCATTACACATGTCAACAAATGCAAAGACCCTTATGGGGCAGTACATAGAGGTTCAAGGGCAATCATGCCATGCTCTTACATGCAAGCGCACACAGTGTTTTATGTAATGACAAAGCATGGTCATGCCTTTAAGTGTAAGCAGCATGTGATGATTACAGCTACATAGCTGTGACAGTTTGGCGGTAGGTGTGTGCAAAAGCCTCCTCCACCTTTGTCCTGTCTGGGCACAAAACTTTCCAAAGCCTAATTAAGCTGACTCTCTTCTTTCATGGCAGACTATCAAGTAGCAGCTGAATTGCCAGCTCAGTTGATAATCTCAAAAACAAGACAACCCTTGTGTTTTTCATCATTGCTGTGAAGTGTTGATTTTCTGAACTTGGTTCTAGCTATGCAGCTTTCAGAGTGGATAGAATGCAAAATAGTTGCCTGTGATGTATTTGCCTTAGTCTGTTTAATTTCTGACATCAAGCTTATATGCAATTTTAATGAGGGTTTTATTTTTCCCTTCTCTTCCATAGAGCTGATTACTTACTGTGTGTTCTTTTGTTGTGGTTTTTTTTAGAAAATATCGAATGGAGAAGTTGGATGCTTGCATCAGCTGAAGAAAGTGTTTCTCAGGTCCTATAGCCTTCAGTGAAAGAGAAGAAAAACCCAAGAAGATCATGTTCCTGTTAGGTTTGTAACTACAGGAAATGGTGAAGGAGCTCTGTTTGTCAACAGGAAACTGGTATAAATGACTGTGTCATACGGTATACTTCACACACAGAAGTGCCTGCGGGACTCTCTGGCCTGGTGATAAAGGACTTGATCAGGGTGAGGTTTCCCTACCGTGGCGTTGTTGGCTGGAGTTTGATAAATTCTTCTTCTGCACGGGCTCGGACTCTGTAAAGTGCATCTGATTGGCTAAAGATGACAAACCCTTTATTTCCCTTTTGTACTTCCCTGCGGTAGAGATCTGAGGTAGCTAACAAGAAACAGGGTATGTCGTCATACTCCCACCATCTGCTTAGGAATTAAGTGCCCTTCAGAACCCAGACAGTTTTGAGGTGCCTCAGTTATTGTTCACTGTGCTGCAGATATGGACTCTGAGCTTCTCTGGCACTTTCTCACATTGGCCTGGTCGACCTCACCATGCTAGTACATGGGAATAAAGACTTCCTTGCGGATGTAGTTTACATCATCCTGGAGCTGGTCATTGCCGTGCTGGCCATCTTGGGGAATGTCCTGGTCTGCTGGGCCGTCTATCTGAATAGCAACCTCCAGAATGTCACCAACTACTTTGTGGTGTCCTTAGCTGCAGCTGACATTGCAGTGGGTGTGCTGGCCATCCCCTTTGCCATCACCATCAGCACTGGCTTCTGTGCCTTCTTCTATGGATGCCTCTTCATTGCCTGCTTTGTCTTGGTTTTGACTCAAAGTTCCATCTTCAGCCTCCTGGCTATTGCCATTGACAGGATCATTGCTATCCGGATACCCCTCAGGTAAGCACTGGGATCACTGGTGTGGGAGAAATTGTTAATAGAATGGGCATCTCTAGAGTTTCCTAGAAACTGCAACTGAGGAGGAAAGCACGGAGGAACAGTGGCATTTGCACTGTAATCCAAAAATGCTTTTTAGGCCTCCCCAGTTGCTGGCTTGTCTTGTCGTTGCATTTCTGTTTCTTGTTCTTTGTCCCCATACAGTATGTGCCCATGGCATTACAAGAACATTGCCTAGGAACTTGAGTTCCATATTTAGAGACATTCATGTCTTACCCTTAATGATTTGTGTTCCAAGTTGAAGTAAACAGTGCCAGCAAGATCACTGTGGGAAAGCTTGAGCTAAAGGAGGGTGTTCTGAAGGAAAGTTTGTGGGGGAAGGGGCAAGGGAAGGGAAAGGGCT